CCCCCCCCCCCCCCCCCCCCGTTCACGGCAAGGAGAACCACACACAAAAGAGACATTACTTGTGAAGAATTCAATAAAAGCAATTCGAACAAAATTTGAAGGGTGCCGGGGAGACCACCTCCAGCACTTTGAGACGACCTAACATACATCCTTTGCTGTACCGATGCATGAGCACTTACGATGAGGACAATGCTACATAACAGTGAATCCAAGTGATGATGATAGCGATGGACATAACATTTTGTGCCATGAGTATCCACATTTTATCCGACCACGGCGGTCCGCGGCCAAATACTGCCTACCCTGCTACATTCTACTTCTACATGGGCATTGGAACTCCATGGCTTCAGCAGCCATCAAAGTACTCGAATATTATCACCATTGCCAATACCCGGGACGAGCCATGAGTTCACCATAACCATCTCTTCACCTTATCCCTCCTCTTCACGTCCCTTACAGTCCCGTCGATATACGCGAACACCCACTCTGCGTCCATTCTTGTTCCTACCACTACCCAGCTGTGTGTTAGCACCTGCACTTAAACGACCAGTACATCCACGCCTCTGAGGTTTAAGGAGTATCCTACTTTCAGAACTGTCAGGAGGCTGGGCCTACCGTCTTATAAAAGGGATCGGCGGCATCGGTGTGCTACAGGCCTGCCGACTTTGTGGAGCCTTTTCGGTGACAGTCCTTGCAGATGTAGTGGTGCTTCAAGATACTTCCGATGGAAAAAAAAATGAAAAAAAAAAATATTATTAAAACACGAAACAAGATAACAACCACAAAGCCATGTATGCGTGTCTGTCTGTTTGCCTCTCTGTCTGTCTGTGCGTGTCCCTGTCAATCTGTCTCTGCATGTCCCTGTTTGTCTGTCTGTGCGTGTCCCTCTCTCTCTCTCTCTCTCTCTCTCTCTCTCTCTCTCTCTCTCTCTCTCTCTCCGCCCGCATTGTAGAAATGCTGGAAACATTTTCTATCAGGGCCGGTGGTCTCACTTTACCAAGCTACGGGCTGTGCCCACTGTGGGCCCCCACGGGCCTCTAAACTTTCTGGTAGCCTGAGCCTGCAACCGCAGGGCTTGATTGATTGTCTTTTTAGATCATTCTGATGGACCCTGCAGGGCAGTATGACACACGGAAATAAACACACTGCAAACTCTTTGTCTGTTTGTCTGTCTGCCCGTCTGCATGTCAGTGCCTGTCACAATGTCCCCATCACTATGACTACTGTCCCCGCATCAGAATGTTCAGTTCTTCGTTTTTTTTCTGTTTCCAACTTTAGAAGCCACAACTTTTCTTTTTTTTGTTTGTCGTGGCTGCAACTGCGGCGTCTCCGGCGCATTTGAAGGACCTGTGGCGGCTGATGAGTCCTTTCTCCGTTGATGGAGGTCCTTTTTCTTCGATGTTGGGACATTTTTCTTCCGCGGTGGGTCCTCTTTGGCCATCTGCGTGCTGTCTATCTGGTTTCGTCCAGGACCTTCTGTTTTCTGTTGCACTGGATCATCCTTCTTTTCTCTCTGACGCGGGATCTTGCCTGTGTCGTAGTCACATGTCCCCTTCTTCAATTCAATCACCAGCTGCATATCCCTCTTCATGATAGTCACCCTCTTCGAATGGATAGCAACCTGGTTTGTCATATTCAACACGTGCACGATGTAGGCCTCGGCTTCCTCTTGCAACGCCTTGAGAGCAAGAAGTGACATTCTTGTTGGCCCTGGTAGATGACTAGTTTCTTCTTCCCATCCTGTCCTTCATTTGTCATCTTCCAGTATTTCCCTGACGAACCGTGTGAATGGAGCAAAAGGAATCAGTCTTTCAGTTGACTTCTGCATTTTGCGAATATCTCGAAGTGCAAGTATCCCTGGCCTGAACTTCCAACGCCTTGCAGTCCCTCCATCAATGTTTCCTTTCTCTTTCCTCCCTTTCCTCTTTGACACGTTCTCACCTACACTCTCTTTCCTCTTCGCCCTCTGTTCCCCTGCATGGTTGACCTCAGCAGCCTTCTTGCTAACATTACCATTCCTTGCATGTTCTTTCTTCTTCATCTGTCGAATTGCCTCGAGTGGAGACTGCGCGCTCATCAACGGATCGTCATCTCTCTCTCTCTCTCTCTCTCTCTCTGGCACACCTGGTGTGTCGTCCTCATAGTCTGACCCACCACCAACTTCCTGCTTTGCGTCCTCTTGCTCTGCAGAAACTGCATGGTATCTTGCCTCGCCTCCACTCAACATGCAATGAAGCAATAAACCCCCTTCATAAACCAGGTCGAAAGGAACTCCCAATGGATCCTTAAAAGTAACATGCACATGACTGTTATCCATATGTTCCTCTTTCCAAATGACCGGCACCCATCCCCGAAGAGCTAAAGAATGGAA